ATTGAGTTCAAGATCCTCGTCCTCACCTTTAAGGCCATTCATTGTGCCCTCCTACCTCTCTGACCTGCTGACTCCCTACCAACCTGCCCGCTCCCTCTGTTCAGCGGGCTCCAGCCTGCCCCATGTCTCCCGCCCTACCATCGGTGGCCGGGCTTTCAGCCTCTCTGCCCCCACACTCTGGAACTCCATCCCTCGGTCCCTTCGCCTCGCTTCCTCCCTTGCCTCCTTTAAGGCTGGTCTCAAGACCCTTCTCTTCGACCGTGCCTTTGGTCTCCCTCCCACCTCTCTGCCTTCCCTCACCCCTACACCACCCCTCCCCCATGCTCGATCCCCGACACCTGACTGTTCAGCGCTTTGGGACGTCCTACCAACGTGAAAGGCGCTCTATAAGTGTAATTTTGTTGTTGTTGTTGTGTTGTAAATTAGCTAGAATATTCACCAACAATTACACTACACCTAAAAGCAATTCTCTATGGAGCATATTGAAGTGTTTTTGTCACTGTAGTGCAATATCAAATACAAGAATTATTTATTATTTATGTGGGATCATCTGTAAAGCTATTTGATCTGATTTGTACCCTGGTTGGCGATGAAGCGCTATATCAAATGCAAGAATTATATTTTTAATTTTCCTGCGTGTTTGCTCCATTGCCAGCCTGAGATAAGGAGATGGCTTTTGTTATAAGTCAATATCTGCAACAGTGGCTTCTTCTCAGATTCTGAGACATATACAGTCATTGTACAGTCAATTCTGTGAAGCACTTTGAGATCACCTGATGGAAAACGTGCTGTTGAACGCAAGGATTATTGTTAATAATTTGAGAATGAAGCTCCATGTTCCATGAATTGTCAGCATTGGGTCTATGTGCTGATGCTAAGTAACTCTGAGGTACTGCAGTCAGAAATGTTACACTTGCAGCGTAATACTGTGTGCCTGTAGGTGCTTACTGTCTATGGCAAAGTGTAGTAGGATGGTCATTATAATGATAATAGTAATAATAATCCTTGCATTTGATATAGCACCTAATCACGTCTTTGAGATGTCTCAAAGCGCTTCGCAGAATATACTGTAAAGTGTAGTGACTGTGTTTTGTGGGTAAAACCCAGCAGCCAATTGCATGCAGCAGTGTCCCACAAACAGTCATGGATAGAGTGATCAAATTATTATTATTATTTTTAGATGGCAATCTGCCGCTCCCTACCGCTCAGGCTCTGAATTATGTTGAAATGTGTGATGATCCCTGTATTTTAATGTTGCCTTTCTTTTCTATACTGCATCAATCAGTCACATAGAAGCCCGATGGAGTGAGCTATTTTTGAATGTTGTCAGCTGTACAATTGTATGTGTGGGGGGAAAAATTAACCTACAGAAACTGCTCGCTCAGAAGAGCTGGACAGCCTGGAGCTGATTTTAAACTGAGGAATTGTGAGAGCAAATGCATGTGCATTCTCGATGAGGAAATGTCACTGCTCATGTATGTCAGGTAGCAATTAACTTGGAATGCATTTGTGATTAAGGCTTGGTACACTACTGCCGCGAGAGGTCTGTGGGAATGTGAATTGGCAGAAGAATGGGAGGAAATCCTCTTGGTACCAATATTGATTGTTTTTAAATAGATTGGGGAGATATCTGGTGAGAAGCTGCTTTTCATATTTTAAAAAAAATCCGGTCTTTGATCCTCCCTTCCCCCCTCCTCATCTCTTTCCCCCCTCCTCCTCATCTCTCTCCCCGCTCCCTCCTCATCTCCTGTAGCTCAGTGGTTAGAGCACTCGCTTTGCAAGCGAGAGACCCAAGTTCAATTCCAGGCAGGGCGAAACCTTGGGCAAGTTTCCTTACTCCACACGCCTAATAATAATCCCTCCAAAACCAAAAACAATAATAAATTGGTCATTTTCAATCTACGACTGTTTGTGGGACATTGCTGTGCGCAATTGGCTGCCGCGTTCGCCCTCAAATATACAGTCAATTCACTTTACAGTGTGTTCTGTGAAGCGCTTTGGGACGTCCTCCTGACGTGAAAAGCGCTATATCAAATGCAAGGATTATTATTATTATTATTATCTCTCTCCCCGCTCCCTCCTCATCTCTCTCCCCTCCTCCTCTTCCTCATCTCTCCGGACCGCCCTCTCCCTCTCCGGCCCGCCCTCTCCCTCTCCGGCTCGCTCTCTCCCTCTCTGGCCCTTCCTCTCCCTCTCTAGCCCCTCCTCTCCCTCTTTGGCCCCTCCTCTCCTCCCCACCCACCTCCCCTCTATGCCCCCACCCACCTCCTCCACCACCCACTTCCCCCTCTGCCCCCACCAACCTCCTCCACCACCCACTTCCCCCTCTGCCCCCCACCTCTGGCCCCCACAACCCCTCTGGCCCCCTCCTCCCACCTCTGCCCCCTCCCCCACCAGCCGCTGCCCTGGGAGGACATTCACCAAGGGGGAGTGGAAGTTGGTATGGTGGAAATGGACGCAGTTCGCCTAAGATCACCTGCCCCGGACCCTGGGCCACGCTGATTTAGGGGAACCTCACGAATGCTTTACAAAAGTTGAAGTATTAGCCTAATTTCCGACTTAGTTCTTTCTGAACTGCCTCATCCCTTTCCCCAAACCACAAATTCTGACCATATTCAGAGGCCCAAGGCTTACAGTAATGCACCTTGTTAAACATCACTTACAGAGCAGCGAGTTGCTTCTAGGATCCTTACCAACAATCCTAGTTATTCTTCAATCATTTACGCCGTGGCTTTTTGTGTGATTTTGTTATTGCAGAACTGGCTGCAATATTTGCCTTTTAAAAAAGATCTTGTGGTGTCATGGCTAACAATCTCCCAAATAAAATTGGTCATTCACTATTTTTGGGACATTGTGTGCACAAAGTAGCAGCCATGTTCACCTACACCACTGACTTCACAGTAAAATCCCGTGGAGCACTTTGAGATGACACAAATGAAACTATTATCAAATGACACTATATCAAATGACAGTCTAACAGTATTAAAAAGAAGGTACAGCACTGAACAACTACTGTAGTTTCAGTGTGATCTACTGCCATAAATGCAAATTTTCTCTATCACAAAGATGCATAAATCAACATTCTTTGTAGAATTGGGCAGTTGAGATTATTATTATTGTTACAGCTGACCGAAAAATAAACGGATGTGTTGCACCTATCATTTACTTCCGTGGTTAGTATTATCCTTTTCTCAGATAATGACCTGCATTTACCAAGGGGTGAGGTGTCTGCCAATATCCCAAAACAGTACCCTCACTGTTTCTCGTCCTCTGAGAGATGGACTTGCAGGCTACAGTCTGCCTGTCAGTACGATGTGTGTCTAGGGCTATGACATCCATTCGTAGGATTTCATGTCACAGATCATTGCAGGTCACTTGACAAATGAGGGGGAGAGGCGTTGAGAGTAATGAGAGATATCAGAATGTTAGTAACACAGTCGGAATGCTTTTATAAGGTGCGGCAGAGAGACAGCAAGGCAAAGTCGTTTGGAAGTGAGTTCCAGAGGACAAGAGTCATTATGGTGGCTGAAGATTCAGTCACTGATAGTGAAACAGTGGGAGTGACTGGGGCAGGGAGCCATCGCCAGAGGGGGGAATGAAACCTGAAGTGAAAAACAAGATAGTAGAGGGATTTCAAAATCACAATTGAAAATCTGAAACCAATAGTGCACGAAAATAATTGATAGAAACTGGAGCAGTCCTTTGGTTATTTACAATGGCTCTCGGTTGTACACTACTCTTCACAGTCACCCTGATCTTTGTCCAACAGCTGCCATCAAGCTGTCCTTTCTGCTGTTAATCTGCCACCCAAAACCCTATTTTGTTTTCTGGGTCAAGCCCTCTGGCGTGCACAGCATTAGTCGGAATAAAGTAATCAGAAATGTTCTGGCTTCACCTAGTTTCTGCCCAAATTCGGGCATTCTTGAGCTTTAGCAAGGTGGCCGGGATTGTTTGTTGCTAAAATATCTTGTTTGAGGGTGGGGGCAAAGGTTGTTGACGAGATGGATCACTCTGTCTTTCAGATTTGCTGCCAATTCTACTGGTAAAGATGTTCTGTGTATCTCTTTGTGTTAAAGAGCTTTTGTCAGTGATGGACAGCTGTCTGATTATCCTGGCAGCCCAACAAATTGTGCTGATGTTTCCATTCACAGGGACATGTCCACTTCAATTACAGGACTGTTTCTCTCTCTGGTTTGCTGTGCTTTTTCTGATTAATACAATGTTTTATTGTTTTTCTCCCTTCCAAACCCCTTTGTTTTATAACCACTCAAAAACTTAAAAATGTATCTATTTTGACTGTGTCTTTGTCATCAATGTCTCGAAGCGCTTGCTATAATGTGCAGTGACCTATTTGTAGGCAAACACATCTGCCACTTGGACACAAGTGATGCAGTGCTGGGGTTTTCTGCGTTGTTAGAGGTGCCATTGTTTGGATGAGATGTTAAACTGAGATCCCATCTGCTTGTTCAGGTGGACATTAAAGATCCCATGTCATTCATTTTGTGGCAATTTGTGGGACTTTGCTGTGCACAAATTGTCTACCATGTTCACCTACAAATAGTCATTATCGTTTGCAGAAAAAAAAACTCCTGAAGCTCTTTGAGATGTTTGGCATAAGGTGCTAAATCAAACACAAGTACTGTATTAAGTCCCATCAATTTCCTCTAACCTGGAATAGAGGATGAGCTCATTACATTTAAGGTTGTTTTTCTAAAGGATTTTGCTCTCCAGATTTATGTTGACATTCGATGCCATGATGTTAGATGGCAGCCTTTATAATTCCATCAGCTAGGTATCCATTATATCTTCACACAGTTGTGTGAAGATATAATGGATACCTAGCTGATGTGAAAACCACACAATAGTAATTCAGAAGCTAACTGAACCTTCTTTGTTCACTACAGGTTGCCTTTGAATAGAAGATTCATTGTGTGAGCTCTGAGATTCATCAGACCATGTTTTGTTCCACTACCTCGGTATCAATGTAATTAAGATGAGACCCATAACAGAGACTTTTACCTAAATCCATTCAAAGATACCAGAAAAACGCTGGATGGTGCCTGTTGGCCAAAGCAGGGAAGTCTTCAGCTGCTCATAATCTTTGCAAAGCTCTTCTGCTCTCAAGCTGTTAGGGGACCATACAGGAGAGAGTTTTTCACGATGCCTATGAACAGGTGATGCCAGAAAACAAACCCATGAATGTGGAGCATAAAGAGACGGGAACCATCACGGGTAAGAAGAAAAGCAAAACCTAGTCTACTTTAATTGTAATTTAGACTTAATTTAATTAAGCCTTGGGATGCCCTCCTGACATGAAAGATACAATGCAAATGTAATTTTGTATTTTAATTACTAGATTCTAAACCCAGAGCATGGCTTAATCCTGATATCTCACACTTGTTTACGAGATCATCTCAGACCTTGTCGCTACGAGGTTACTTCTAGGGCTCTTTCACTGCAATCTGCCATGGTAGCAGCTGAAAACAAGTCTAAAGGTGCCAAATTGATTCCAATGGCAGTGCAAGATGACTGATTTCTCCAACCGCGCCCCCCCCCTGCCCCCCCGTATCAAGCAGCGTAAAATGACTGGCATCCCAATGGTACGAGAAATCTATATCACCATATATTGTTACAGTTTCTGACCTGAAGGATACCCTTTCTGTAGGTTATAGTAATGTATATCCGCACATTTATTCAAATCTGCACCGATCCCATTTTGCTGCATGTTCATTGAGTGAGTGCCATTTGATGCAGCAGACTGTAAAATGTAACTTGACATCCTTTGACATTAGCCTTGTCTTGTTACCAGATGTGTGCAGCCGTGAGGAGTTGCCTGAAGTAGAACTGGTCAGCCTGATTGAAGATCAGATACCCCAGTATCGCCTCCGAGCAGATTCACTGTACCTGTACCAGAACAAGGATTGGGACCAGTCACTGGACGGCTCCAGCCATGCATCCGATATGCTTTCTCCCACCCAGGCTGAGGAAGCTTTCCGCTACATGAGTAAGTACTATATTTTGGTTAATGCAAATTTGAGCAAAAGTGATCTAGTGGTGTTCGTTATTGGAAAGATATTTTGGGGTTGGGGGGGCATTCAGGTGTTTGGCACGTGCAGAAATCCACTTCCATCCTTTAAGACTCTCCAATATTGTCGATATTGTTTGTTCCACCAGCAAGGCATGGTCAAATGCTTGGCTGCTGAATAAAGGGAAAGTTGTTGGTTTTAATTCTATACAGGAAGACTAGTGATTGTTCAGGTCAAACAGAAATGGCTGGGTGGTGCAGATAGAGTGATATATTAGACCAGAAGCTTACTGGTTTGAATCGTAGTTGGTGATGAGGTTGGTCTGAGCTGGGGCTGTACGGTGATTAAATTCGCCCTGGCCTTAGGATTAGGGAGGTGTGTGTGGGTGTGCGTTTTCTGCTTGACTGGTACACTGGTACAGAGGACAACGAGCTTCTGTGGAACCAACCCTCGTGTGAAGAGGCCAGGAACTAGGTGAATTACAGGAGTTGGGGGGGTGGTTAGCATGCAATTTTTTTTGCAATGTATTGTCCAGTCATGTAGCACCTTGTACGTACAAGAAAGGTGTAGTTGAGCTTCACAGAACAAACTTGCAATAGATGACCAGCATTTTGTGGTTCTGTTATCAGTTCAACGACCTCCAGTGCAAGTTAGCATTTAACCAAACCAATACGTGTGCAGATTTGTATAAACTGTCTGTGTTCAGTCTTACTCAGCAAAGTCTTATTGTAACCAACTCCTTGCTGGAAGAGTAAACTTAAAAACTTCAACCTGGGGTTGAAGTTCCAAGTGGCTATCGTCTCAGCTAGATTTGCAACTGTCAATAATGTGCTGGATCCAGCACTTTATGAAGGTCTTGAGCAAGGCTGAAATGAAGTCCAGATGGGGCAGGGGACCTGCCAAGCTCTTCACTGTACCAATTGTCTCTGGGAAACCCTGAATGTCATTGCTATCTCTCTTCCCTTTTCTTTCTTTCCCCCCCACCCCCCCAGGTATTGCTCTGACACATCTTGTTTGATTAGTTAGAAACTGGTCAGGAAGCATCTCTTCACACACAGAATTATGAAGATATGGGTTCTTCTGTCCTTGAAAGCTGTAGAGGCTATATTGAAGAGGTGTTTAAGAGGGACAGAGACTTGGGCAATAGGGATATTATTGGGAATAGCAAAATGGCGTGGCTTTCAGATGAAAACGGTTCACTGTGGTTCAAGCATCTTCATACATATCCCACTCCCTCTCTCAGGCCAAAGCTGCTTTTTACTCACAGGTCATTCTTGAAGCCAAAAGTATCCTTAAAATTTTGTTCTCCAGTACTCAGCACCTCCTACATGCCTCCCCTCAAGCAATTTTGATTCTCACTTCAGGTGCCAAGAAGTCTTGGACTTCTTTATCTCTAAGATAGATAATATCCACCTGGCTGCCTCTTCCTCCTCCCCCCGACCCCCCTACCCCCATGTCACCTACCACCCTTTGCCCCCATCACTTCGTCTTCCCTTTCCCCCACCGTCACCCAGATTGTGGAGTCCTATAGCTCAGTGGTTAGAGCACTCGCTTTGCAAGTGAGAGACCTGAGTTCAATTCCAGGCAGAGGGCCAAACCTTGGGCAAGTTTCCTTACTCCACACGCCTAATAATAATCCCTCCAAAAAAAACAAAAACAATAATAAATTGGTCATTTTCAATCTACGACTGTTTGTGGGACACTGCTGTGTGCAATTGGGTGCCGCGTTCGCCCACAAATATACAGTCAATACACTTTACAGTGTGTTCTGTGAAGCGCTTTGGGACGTCCTCCCGACGTGAAAAGCTCTATATCAAATGCAAAGATTATTATTATGAAGCCCACCACCTGCTGCCTCGACCCCCTCCCCATCCAGTTTCTGGTCACTCAATTCCCCCTCCTCTTCCCACTGCTGGCTGACACACTCAACCAGTCCCTCTCCTTAGGCTCTGTCCCACTCCACCTCAAAACCACTGTTATTACTCCTTTCCCTAAAAAAACTACCCTCGATCCCTCCAATCTCACAAACTTCAAACCCATCTCAAACCAGCCCTTCCTAGCCAAAGTTTGACGAACATGAAGGCCTGGATGAGCGCAAATTTCCTGCATTTGAATGTCGACAAGTCGTCATTTGTGGACTCGATGGGCCGAATGGCCTCATTCTGCGCTGTAGATTTCCATGTTTCTATGATCCTGATGTAGCTGAGGGAGCTGGTGGATTTGTGAACAAACTGGTCTTTCTCAGGGGGCTCATCTCGTGGAGGTGTGGAACATCCTACTAGCTGTGACCAATCTGTGCTGTGTCCCGGGAAAGTGTTATAAGGAACTCGCTCTGACGAAAAACGACTATAACTTGCATTTAAGTAGTGTGCTGCGTACAGGGTAGCGCTTTGGAGTATTAATGGCGGCATTTGACGCTGAGCCAGGGAGACAAGGGAGGTACTGATGGGCAAGGCAGAGGGATTGAGACAGAGTTCCAGAGGGTCTGGGCCTAATGGTCGAAAGCACAAGTAACATCTGCAGTTTGCTGAACAGTTGTTCCCGGTTGGAATCCTCTTCAGGCCATTTATACTGTCAACATAGGCGTACCTAGAGACTTCTGCTGACTAACCAGCTTTCTGTACATAGTGTGAAGGCCTCCTGGAGTTTATACCCCCAGCCAATAGTTGTGTCAGAGAATTTTAATACTAAACTGGAGCGGAGGAGAAATGGTTCTGTTTCCAAGGAGGTGAGCGAATCACCTGGTGGTTAAAAACCAAGCTTGCTAAAGTTGGAAGGATTCAGAGAAGCACGTGCTACAAGTACTACTATGGGACTGACAGTGTTTTGTTTCTGGGTGGGGTGGTGGGGAGGGAGAGGGCTGGTTATTCACTGTTCTCTACATAGTAATTTTATTCAATAGACAATAAAAAAATGTTTTGAAGCCATTGACCAAGAAGGTCAATGTTTAACATGTGGCCTTGAAGCTCACTTTATGTGCGGCTTTTTCTGCCACCGCCTCCCACTTTCTTATTTGGATCAAACTATAAATACACAGGCAGTAAAACTGCAACTGTTCAGAAGGCATTCAGTCTGCATTGTGGTTTGAAGGTGGTACAGTGGACTTCTTATATTGATACAATACAGTCTCCCGTACTGACATTTTGTGAAGATTATATTTGGTGAGGATTACGTTACTATGCACCTGATCATGGAAGGGCAAACTGGTACAGATGAGAATGGCTACAAAGATGTACTAGAAAGAATTGTGGAGGAAGGTGAGACTGATAAGTAAGATATAATGTTCTTTCAGTAATTGGGTCTTTGTTTCTGCTCATTATTAGATCACCATCGATGGGTAAAGGGCTTTGAATTTTAATGTTTTACTGGAAATGTGTGTTCCCTCCCGACTCAGCGAAACATTCCGAATTCATTGCTCTGGTTCGCAGCCAACTTTACATTCTTCCAGTGCTGCAATGCACCTCGTCATCTAAGGTGACCTTGCAGCCTCCTTGTTCTCTAACTCAGCTCATAGAATCATAGAATTATACAGCACAGAAGAAGGCCATTCAGCCCATTGTGTCTGAACCGGCTCTTTGAAAAAAGCTATCCAATTCTAATCCCACTCCCCCGCTCTCTCCCCATAGCGCTGCAAACTTGTTCTCCCAAATAATTATCTGCTTCTCTCTTAAAAGCTGTTATCAAATCGCTTCTTCAATGGTTTGCTTTTATTTTGAACAAGCTGTACCTGATGCAGCTTCGCTTGCAACCAAAGGATCCAATATGGAATGTAGATTGACACACAGACGGACATTTCATCTTTATCCATACTCATCTTGGAGGACTCCTTTAGGAGGACTCAGCACATTAAAAATGTAATTTTGTTGTTGCCGCCGCTTAGCTTCATCTGTGTTCTTTATTTTGTTCCCGCCGCTTGGCTATATGTGCTGTGTAACGCAGGATGCCACAGCACCGCGGCCACCAGGTGTAACTGCAATGTGTGCCTACATATGCAGGTGCTCTGTGATGCACGATGCTACAGCGCCACTTTGACTCTGCAGCCACCAGGTGTAACTCCAGTGAAAAACGCAAAACTGAAAATAACTCATGAAAGATAAGAAATACCCGAAAACAAATATGCCCATGTCACTCCCAGATGCAAGACCTTTCCGATGAGGTATAAATCATGTCTCTATGCCAATTGGTTATTGAGATACTTCTTCAAGCATAGACAGTCATTGTCGTTTTATTAGTATAATAAAGAAAGAAGATAGATAGAAGAAGATAACTCCTTTTTGTTGGATTCTCTTATAGAATCATAGAATATTACAGCACAGAAGGAGGCCATTTGGTCCATCTTGCATGTGCCAGCTCTTTGAAAGAGCTACCCAACCAGTCCTACTCCCCTGCCCTTTCCACATTTCCTTGCATTTTTTTCCCTTTTCAAGCACCTATCCAATTCCCTTTTGAAAGTTATGATTGAATCTGTTACCATCACCCTTTCATGCAATGCATTCCCGACCGTAACAGCTATCTGTGTGTAAAAAAAAGTCTCCACATCTCCCCTTTGGTTCTTTTGCAAATTATCTTGACTCTATTAAATCTTATTGAAGAGATGTGTGACTTTCTGCTAGTTTGCAGGCACATTGTAAGTTTGTGGGGAATCATTGATTGTGGAAAGGCCTCTGGCATGTTCAATGTAATATTCAAACTGCAACAATAACTTGCACTTATATAGCGCCCTTTATGTGGGTATTGTCTTAACAGTGACGCCAAGCTGGGTGGGTGGTGGGGCAGCTGATCACTGTCAAAGATCTATGTCTTCAGGTGTGATCTGAAGATCAGGAAGGAGGAGGCAAGGTGGAGATTGGGGAAGTGAGTTCCATAGTTTAAGGATGTACTGGCTGAAGGCACAGCCACCAATTCTGGAGCAGGTTGAGGGACATGCAGTAGGCCAGGGTCAGCAGAGTGGAAGCCTCAGGTAGTGGAGTGAGTGCAAGCAAGTTGCAGAGGTAGGGCGGTGCCAGAGCATGAAGTGATTTGGAAACGTGGGAGGATATTGGAACTAATTAGGTCTGTGATAGGGAACCAGTGGAGCCCAGCAAGGAATGAGACGATAGGGGTATGGATAGGGTATGCCTAATAATAATCCCTCCAAAACCCAAAACAATAATAAATTAGTCATTTTCAATCTACGACTGTTTGTGGGACATTGCTGTGCGCAATTGGCTGCCGTGTTCGCCCACAAATATACAGTCAATTCACTTTACAGTGTGTTCTGTGAAGCGCTTTGGGATGTCCTCCCGACGTGAAAAGCGCTATATCAAATGCAAGGATTATTATTATTATTATTATTTTGGTGCGGGTGAGGATAGATGTGGAGGAGTTTTTAATTAATTTTTAATTAGTTGGATTTTGTAATTTGTCAACTTCATGTTATTTTAACTTTGGATAGCTTTTTGTTAGTCGAGCTCTAGATTTGTCATGAATTGGCTTGGCGTGGTGCTCCGCCACTGTCAAGCACTCTAAGACACTATGCTGAATGAGGGGCATTATATAAATGCAAGTTGTTGTTGTGAATAGGGAGATTGTTAGGACATTAGAATAATTGAACTGTGAGGTGACGAGCGTGTGGATATTCAATGTGCTGCTAAATTGACCCAATGTACTGTCTGTAATAATATCATGTAGATCAGGGACTTTACAAAACTAGGTTTCTGAATGACAAACTCCAAGAGATTAAATAGGAGTTAATACAATGGACAGGACTTCCTATCAATGGATGGTTGTATTGCCTCACTAGCCTGCTCCCTCAGTGCCTGTTTTGCCTGGATGAATACTTTTGGACTCCTCACTTTTTAAATACTCCAATTTAAATTGTACCTTGAAATATAAACATAAAATTCCAAATAATTGCAACTGCCCAAAACCATGTAAGAGAATAGAGGTTTGACACCAAAGCTGCTCATTATTTAATTTCACTAAAAGCTAAAAGATATGGGGAGCCAAAGTTTCAGATATTTTAACCTCCCGAGTGAATACATTTTTAGTTAGTCAGACTAAATAGATTCTCCTTGATGCACAGATTTCCCCTGATGCACTTTAACTTTGGATAGCTTTGTCTTACTTGAGCTATAGATTTGATGTTATGAATTGAACGGCCCTTTCAAATCGTGCATTAATCATTTGCTCCTGGCAGTGAATGTGGGATCTTCTGTGGGTGGAATGTATTTCTTTCCATGTGTTGACAAACCCATTCAATCATAAATACCAATTGTTTAGTATCCAACAATGCTGTCCAAAGTCCTGCAAATTTGGGGATTGATGTTTTTATTGTGTGTCAAAGTGTACAAGTGGGAGCCTATCAACAGAGTTTGTTTTTATATATGTTTTGGCACAGGTGTTTCTCGGAAGAGTTCAAATAGTCATAAAAATGCCATGCCGGTTAGTCACCTTATAATTGTGCGTCTATCACTTGGAATAGTTGAAGCACCGAGCTGAGGTCCTGGTCCTTCTGATGAAGTGAAAGTTAGGTTCTTATATTTTTTGATCTCTAGTCAATAACAACTTGCACGTATAGCACTTTTCCAATAAATGGAGTGTTTTGGCACAGGTTAGTAAATGTCAAGGCTTTGGGAGGGCAATATGTATTGTAATTCTTTTCCTTATCGATGCGCTCCCTCTGGGAGCTCCCCCTGGCTCAGAGTCAGGCTCCGCCATTTTAAGTACCCTGAGCTGCTACCATGAATGGAAGGCTCTATATAAGTGCAAATTGTTGTTGTAATAACTGCTGGAGTTTAATCAGCTAAAATTGCTCAGCTGGACACGATAAACACTGTTAAACTTCCCTGCTGCTAGCCCTACCCTACCAAATGTTGAGTGGAAAGAATCCTTGCCCCCAGTTCTGCTCCTCCCAAGTCCTGCTAACAAGCCAAACCTGTTGGTCAGACATTAGCAGTGTCTTAGAGTACTGTGGGCCTGCCTGGCTCAGGTATCGCATTACCAAGAACATAGAGAATTAATTTGATTCTGATCTTCCATTGTCAGATTCCTTTGGAACAAGCACCAATTAGACACCTTTCCCCAAAACTGATAGTTACCGGATGGTCATTAGACATTTGACAAACGCAGATTTGAACACTTGCCAGCGGGGTAGCAGGTACCAGGAACTCCTCATTAACCAGAATCAAAATTCGGTACATCTCCTGAAGTGTTACCGATGTTCTTTTGAGTAACTCAGCTAAGTACGTTTTCAATCTTTATTTCACTAATATTCTACATTCTTTCACTGAACAGCAGTTGCACTGAAATGTAGACTGATTATAGTGATGGATCTAGTTACTTGGGTAAACTGCAATCATACTGTTGATGTATTTCTCTTTTGTATCTCTTAAACTTCCTTTTTTGCCTGAATTTACTCTCCTGACCTTTTCTTCTGTTGCTCTTCCCTCCTCTCTCAAGCTTTCATGCATACGGACCAGACTCCCTCAGTGTTTCCTAAATCATGCAGCCTTCCTGGAGGTAATGAATTGTTCTTCCCAGAAATAAAGCCTTCTTTACCACTCTTGCAGCCGAGGAGCCTAAGGAAATGGTCAGAGGACATCTGAAGAGAATTTCAGTAAAATTCTCTAAATTAACAATCTTGAAAAATCTTGCATTCCTGTAATAGGAAATCTATAATTTCCAGGCTTTGATGTAAATGCTTCTGTCTCCTGTTTTATACAGGGCTAATAATAGCATCAGAAGTGAGTTGCAGTACATATTTACCATTGCAGCTCTGTATGAATATTCTGTGATGCGGATATTTATTTAAAATCTCAGAACTGAAAGCAGTAGCTGTGAGTCCATTCTATGTATAGTATAATAAACCAAAATGTAGGGTTATGCAGATTTCCACTGACTATGGGTGATGTAATTTATTGGTTTCACTGCAGTGTGGGCTTAATTATATAAATGTATAATTATCATTGCATTTGATCTAGTTTGTTGTTACATCTCAATTTCCTGTGAAGTGCCATGACTTTGCATTTGTACACAAATGCAGCAGCCAATTTCAGGGATTGTTTTGCAAATAATATGTAAACAAGAGTGAAGATCGGGTTATATTATGCAATGCTGGTGGGTGATGTTTTCAAGCTGAAGTGTCCCTGCATTTAGATTCCTATTTTACTTCCTGAGAAAGGTTCTTACCCAACACAATTCATACAGCCAACCTGATCAGTCTCTGCATAAAGAGCAGCTAATGCTTCTGCTGAATTCAAGATGTCGCTGTCTTAGGATGCCAAGATCTGGGGGAGGAGAGGGAGAACAGAAGAGTTCCACCTTACTGCAGCTATTTGTAGTGTGCTTGTACATTAACCTGCTGAGTAGAATTTGTGCAGCCAACATTGGGGATAATCCTTCTGTTTGTCCTACAAGGCTCAGATCTTCTGATTTTGAATGATGACTGTGGCTCTTCAGAAATGTTTGGCCATTTTCTCATCTCAGGCCTGCTTGATGGGGAGTTCCTCCAAGGTGAACCTGCACAGCTCCTACCAGCTGGTAACCAAGTAGGCAAGGGTAGTTTTCGTGCTTGCGTAGCAAGACAGTATTGAACTTTTGGAGCCAAGTGGACTGCAATGACCTTTCTTGGTCTTGTATGTGCTTGTGTTCCACTAAAGCAACGAATTGAATATGTTAAATTAATTATTTTAACATAAAATTGACACACGAATGAACGTATGAAGTCTAGTTGCTTCAGTTGCTGATCTTTAAACTAAACGTAGAAGACAGGCTATGTTCCTTTCCCTTGCTATCCATTCATTGCTGGGTTCAGTATTCCCCTAAGTAAGGAGCATAAAGATTGCTTTTCCCTCCTGCAAATTTTATATATGCACAAAACTACCAATCTCAAAGAGCACCTCTCAAAAGCCACATCGTGATTTGTTTCCAACACAAGGCATTGAGGGAATCTGATTACTAGCGTTGTGGATAGTCTTCTACAGTAGATGAGTTATAATGAAGAGTTTGGTTTGACACAGACCAGACATGTTTTTTAAGTTATTCTTACTGCTGAAAGAGAGAGCGAGAGAGCAGGTTTTTGATCTAACAACCGTGCTTTGAATACTGGAGGTGAAAGTGCAATATTCAAATTTGCTGTGCCACCAAATTCCTTTAATGCTTTTTCAATAGTTTCTTTGAATTAGGTGCTAAGTGGGTGGGGACTACAAGATAATATTGAAATGTCTCTTTCTGCAGATGAATTCAAGGGCTTTTAACTTCGCTATCTTTTTTCGGAACTGGTTCAAATCCAGCCCAGTCTGTGATCTCAATTTTTGCTGGTTGCAAATTACCTTCAGGAAAATCATTGTCTTGTGGTTATGAGCACACAGTTCAGGAGAAATTAACCATTCAGTTTTAGGTGGTGCTGTTTTTTTTGATCTACAAAATGGAACAGTTGGGCTACTAATCATGGATGCTGTATGCCTGATGTGTGTGTGAGGAGGGGGTTGTGTGGTGAGGGGACGAGGTAAAGAAAAGAAGAAAACTGATGTTTCCTCCCGCTGTTCTCTTCCAGTTCTCAGTTCTGATCGAGTAGAACAGATGACCAGGACTTACAATGACATTGATATGGTTACACACCTCCTGGCTGAAGTAAGATCCACTTTTTTATTTTTTTGCATTGTATCGTCTTCGATACCTGGAGAAGTTGAAATTAAAAGTTAGGTTAAAAAAGCAGCACAATCTGGTAAAACTGCATGGTTTTGTGCTGTGGGTGAGAGTGACGGGGTTAGGGGTGAGATCGATAGGGAACAACTGCACACTTTCAATCTTATACTCTAGAACCTATATTTTTCAACGTCTATTTCATTTCACTATTTTTGCACTCCGAAGATTTTGTATATATTAAATAGGTCATTTATTGTCTTTATGATGGGCATGGATGAGCACACTTTAGAGGTTGTGTAAAAATATACAGATTACAGGGCAACAGATTAAAAGGATTTCCAGTAATTGGGGTGGTCACAGTATTCTCTCCCTACCTCCCTGAAAATGCTGAATGATTAGTGTATTTCACAAGGAGGTTTGGATGAAGAAGGCCCTTTCGACCATTTGACCTCATCCTTCCAATCACCTTCCCATTAAAGCATCAAGTCTTTGCATGAATCCAAAGCCGTGGCCTCTATGCCCTTTTATATTTGATGCAGTGGGTATGTACTAACTAATATCCGTTTCTCCTTGTGTAATACTCTTCCTCTTGTGTGGTGCTATATGAGCTCCACTGTAACTGAGACTCTTTCTTCCTAATTCTCCCCTCCCCCCTGTGGGATGCTACATTGATTTATTTTGTCAAAACCTTTGCTTTATTATTTCCCCATGCTTTGCAGAGAGATCGGGATTTGGAGTTGGCTGCCCGAATCGGACAATCTTTACTGCAGCGTAATCGGGTCCTGACGGAACGAAGTGAGCTATTGGAGGAACAACTGGCCCAGGCTTATGACCAAGTAAGTGCCCATGTCTTTTAAAAGAAACCTATTTAATTGCGTAGTGGTGAATTTAAGCAATCTCGATCAAACTTATCTTGCCAACCCGTGTAATATTTGTTTTAATTTCTTTTACAATTCAAATTGCATTAGGCTGAATGATTGATTACTGTGAAATCAGGTATAGAAGCTGCCTCTCTATGCTATTTGGCCTTTTTTTATGTGGATCACATTGGTTTAACAACAGTAACAACTTTGAACTGGTAGCCAGAGCTTTTGCTCTGAATATTTATTGAGGTCTATTGTAAAGCAGAGTCTACCTTTCCTATAAAAAACTGATACAAAGAACCTATGAACCTCTGACTGTCGGACTTTGAAACATTGGTATCACAGCCATAACAAAGAATACAGATGTGTTTACCTGCCCCTAGTACAAGGAATTCCCAGTATACTTGTCTCCTTAAAAAACTAAATTATACTTCTGTTTACTTGATGTGACTCAAAAGTATAAACTTGGGCTTTCCTTAAAACCAGTGTCATTTCAGCTTCAGTATCCTTGCTGGGTTTTATTGAGAAGGCTAAAAGTGACCATGTTGGTAACGATTGCTTTGATTTAAACTCGATTAAGGGATTATTGGTTATGTGAAGCCTGTGTGGATTCTCTTCATGGATGGTTTGTTTTGGTGAGCTGGTCAGCTGAGTGTCTGATGTATAGGGAAGCCCATTGCCATACTCAACCATCGAACCGACTGCTGAGTTCTACATCTATATGGAATTTTGTCTGGTATGGAATCTGTACTCTCCCTGGAGGGATGAACTCTGCTCACTTAATCCTGAAAAGTACTAGGCACAGGTCGGCAAAAGCTAAGGCTTGGGGACCTCACTATGCATTGGGGTGCTGCTGGAGCTTAACTGACTAACTGTACACCTTACCATTGTGAGCACAGTCTGGCAAGTTTCCTAATGCCTGTTCGGTCTTTGACTTGCAGGATTAACAGGAGCCAAATAGGAAGAATCCTGCCTCCAGTATCTAAATATATATATGAAGATATGCTGTTAATAGTGAGGGGTTGGTATGGTGTCCAGAAAACAAGTGCCTATTAGTTGTGTTGCATTTAAATGGGTTTTATGTGTTGAATAGGCCAGTAGGCAAGTTTAGATTTGTTCCCAGTTTTACAGATTGCAGTTCTGGCCCACTAAATCTTCTCGGTCCTTTAGTGTGTCTACACTCTGGTACTCCAATCTCTGTGTTTTCATTAGGTCAACCAACTGCAGCACGAGCTGACGAAGAAAGATGAGCTACTGCGTTTCGTGGCCATCGCCTCGGAGGAGAGCGAGTCTGATTCGAGCTGCTCCACGCCGCTCCGCCAGAACGAGTCCCTGAGCCTGTCACACAGCCTGATTCAGCTGGACTCCTTGCAGAGCAAACTGCGGGTCCTGGAGGAAGAGAATCTCTGCCTCCGATCTGAGGTGTGGTATAATGAAAACAGAGAGTAGGTGCTCCAAAGAATATAGTTAGACCCCTGTTATATGGTGGTGGTTGGAGTTGATATAACCAGACCTCACGTTGAAATGGGTTTTTATAATAATAATAATAATCTTGCATTTGTTATAGCGCTTTATCACTCCATTGAGATGTCTCAAAGTGTTTCACAGAATATATTATAAAGTGGATTGACTGTATTTTTGGAGCGAAACGTGGCAGCCAATTGCACGCAGCAGTGTCCCACAAAGAGGGATAATTACCCCCTGGAAAACGGGTTGTTGTGCAGGCCATCGGCACTCTTGGATTGTTGCCACTATTGTCATCGAGCATGGCGGCTCTGTCGCTAAGATACCAAGAGGCTCCTCTCCTGCCCCTGTACAAAGATCAAACCTGCCACTTAACTGGTCTGGAAGCATCCAGGGTCTCGCTTTGAATCAAAGTAAACTGGTGTGCCAGCACTGATAACTCAGGCAGCTCTCCTCCATTCCCTTCTTGTGAACACAGTGTCCGTTATGCAAAAGGAAACCCCAGTATGTGTCGTGTAAAAGGAGATGGTAAATTTAAAGGCTCAAACTCTTGGACGTTTGGATGAGTTTTCTAAGATATACGAACATCAAGAGTATGCTCCAGCTTTGCCAAACAATTCTGTATGTCTTTTCATTCCAGTCTTCCTTTCCATTGCTCCCATTCTGTTATCTTCGTATCTTGACTCTTAGTCATGGATATAACTGAGCTGCAACAATAATTACGTTGGTAATGCCATTCGCTTAAAGATTGTCCCCAAGCGCCCAATTGTGGGCAGACAGTGAGAGAGAAGTGGGAGATTTAGAAAGGATCAAACAGATGGTTACAGAGAGGAGCTTTTGATAAGCAGGGATAGAGCTGGGAAAGGAAGTTCATTTCATTGCAAGTTCATTGCAAGAGAATTGCAGAAGAAAGGATTTTGACGATTGAAGGCTTGATTTGTTGACCATGTCGAAGAGTTTATTTTACTGAGAAACAGCTCTGTGGAGGTTGAAGTTCGATATACATTGACATAATGGGCTAAGCGCCTGCTTTCCGTGCTGTAAATTTCTATAGTTCTTGAATACAGTGGTCCAAAATTGGTATTAATTTGTAATTTAAGGAACTACAGAATGCCCAATGCAAAAGTGCAAATTGTCTCTAAGGTGAGCATGTTAGCAACAGAGCCAGGCTAAAACCTGAGGTTAAGGCGAGGACTACAAAGAATATTTGGGTCTCTGATTCTCTTCTCATGACATCTGGAGTTTTACCATTGCTTTCAGGTTTTATAAAACTAATAAAGAAAAATCTAATAATAAATGGTTAAGAATAAAATATAATGAGTGACTGATGTAAGGGTTCAGCCAAGACACTGCAAGAAACTATTTACTTTTTAAATAGTGTTGCTGGATCTTCAGCATCCATCTGGACGGGCAGTTTACTCTTGCCCGATAGACGGTGCCTCTGATAATGCAACACATCCCAAGCACATCGTGAAGTGTCGGTCTCCACTGTGAGCTCAAAGTCATGACCCAGAGGCAAGAGCATTGCTGATTGAGCCAAACTGACACTTAATCTGAGTCAGTTCGGGTGAACCCATCATTGACCTATAAAGGCCCATCAGTTGTTATACTTGTGGTCCCACAGCATTTTTGGTGCTCATGAGGCAGTGATCAGCTGACCACTGGTCCTTCAAAACTCTTTTTACATCAGCGCTCAAATGGCTTTATTCTCAAGACAATTGACTTCAATTTGATGATGGAGATCTTTAGAAAACTCTCAAACTCAGTCATTATTCAAAAGCCAGTTTCCACAATTTACTGGGGCTCTTCAATAAGGTTAGAAATGTACCTGGGTTTGGTGCTGGTTATAACAGCAATTTACATTTATATAGCACTTTGCCACAAGATGTGCCACAGTTCCAGGCTATCAACCCCTCCACATTTCAATTGGAGGGCTTCAAAAATAAAGTTGCATGAAATTAATTTCACTCCACAGAGCAACAAATCGTCTTTATTTGTAAACTCTGTTGGAGCTGGCAAGGGATGTGATGCTATCGAACAGTAATTACAAAGGGTAGATTAGGGAGATGAATGATGCTGCTGAGTCTGACCAGGTTTCAATTTTGTCTCCGTTCCAAAGGCCTGTCACCTGAAGACGGAAACGATCAACTATGAAGAGAAAGAGCAGCAGCTGGTCAATGACTGTGTGAAGGAACTAAGTATGTATAAATTGAGCAGAGCTTGAATGATGTGTCACCCGGTTAAACAGACCAAACTCAACATTTTCTCCATTTGACGTTTTCCATGCACTTGTGCTGTTAGTTACAAGAAATTCTGGAATTATAGATCTGAACCTTTGGGGGGTTTATTTTGCTCCATGTAACTATCAGTGATCGGACTTTCAGACCCCACTCACTAGAACTCCATCCTGGAGTCACTACACCTCCCACTCCTACCCACTTGACTTTTGGTCATCTTTCCCCTCCCCACTCCTATCAGCTGCCACCCCCAACTCGGATGGGAAGCCAAGATAGATTGCTGGGCACATATGGACATCCTCCTGGCCCATATAAAGTACTATATAAATGTAAATTTGTATTGTAATTGATCCAGGGAGGGTTTCTGAGTTCTATTCTGCACCAATGGATGTACTACAATTTCATTTTTACTTCTCTAATCTTGACATCTTGAGAGATAACTGTGATTAACATTTTCAGAGAAACCTGAAATGAACACAACTACACCTTGTGAAGTCCTGCTGAACGAAACGTTGCGAGTTATGATGCCTTGATGTTTAATGGCTACTTTGTCCTCTTCCTCGCCTCCAGGGGAAACCAACATACATATTTCTGATCTAGCAGACGAGCTCTCCAGGAAGAATGAGGACATTGCACGACACCAGGAGGAGATCACAAACCTGCTCAGTCAAATCGTAGACCTGCAGCGGAAAGTCAAAGAGGTAATTCTGAAAGGCCCAGAACCACTCTGGGACTGTGGCAAAGCTTTCCCTTCAGAGTTTAATCATAGCTGCTGGACATGCTGTATTGTCCAGATGATGTGGTCCTTTTTGCCAAGGAGTGGATTTCATTTGATCACCTACTTTCTCTCGGCCCTGCTCGTTATAAATGCTTCCTAGATTACTAATTATATAAATCATGGAATGTTACAGTACCAAAATGGATCATTCAGCGCATCAAATCTGAGCTGGTGCTTTTCTGTACGTGAGCCAGTTTGTGTGTTTTTTTGTGGTGTGTCCAGTTAGTTTTTCTAATTTTCTCCCCACTGGCATTTGTCCCTCTACTCCTGCTCATGTTGGGCTGTTGTTGGTTAGGCACTGGTTGTCATCCGGTTTCTCTTCTCCCCGCCCCCACACTCAAATGGTCATTGTACGCATGTGCGTAACCAGCTGCCACGCACACTAACCTGTTGACGGAGCAGGAGCAGCAACCTTGGCTGGGTTTCATCTGCCTGTCCCTGGGAAAGCCTGGGCCTATTTAGCTTCCCAATGCAACCCCAGCAGAGACCAGCAACATCAGCTGAATTTCGAACCAACAAACTCTTGATCAGTAAGTTTCAGCTCTCTTCATTGCACCATTGGGGCTGCCTGTAGTGTTCTTTTGCCATTTGCCAGATTTTAATTGTGGATGTAACGTGAACAAACTTTCCTGGTAGGAAATGGGTTTCTCCTCCCACCTCCCTCACCAGTGTTGCTGATCTCATTTGGTTCATCCATCGGAGACACAAACCTGAGCATTGGCTCTTTTCCAGGGAGAAGTATTAATCCCTTCCATCCAAATCAGTTTTTTCCCCGTCATTCCTCTGCAGCTAAATAATCGTTTTAAAAAGACTTCAAAGGATAATGCAGTTTAATTAAGATCACAGGTGTGTATGTATGTAGTTATTTTTGTTCGGAATAGCTCATGCGTCTTGTGGTCTTGCAGCACGCCATTGAAAAGGAAGAGCTCAAACTTCATCTGCAGGCTTCCAAAGATGCCCAAAGGCAGCTTACAGCAGAGGTCAGTATTTCACTTTCTTTATGGGCTTTTTGCTAAGTTTGTTCAGATGAAGGTGAGCAGTGAAGCTTTATTTTTTTGCAGCCAGATGCAGAGTAAAGCTGCCTCTCCTCTGATCCCAAATTATGCCTTTACCTCTATTGCATTTCTGTGATTGCTCCATTTTCTGTACCATCTATTTTTGTTAGTACCGCTGTTTATCTTCAGTTATCACCGCCACGTCATGAATGTTGGGCTAAATTTGAAACTAGCATCCAGAGATGAAAGGGGAATTCACTTGCTCCCTGCACTACTCTTCCTGACAACCTCTTCCAGTTGTTAATCACCCTCTGGGTAAAGAAAAACTATCTGGTATATGTTCTGAAATTGCCTTTTGAACTGTAAACCTATCTCCTCATGTTCTACTCCTAAACTATTGTTCTGGATTTTCTTTTTTAATCCGTTAAAATTTTATAATCTTCTATAAGGTCCCCTCTGAGATTTCTCCATTAAAGATTGAGTGCACTTCACACACTTAACAGCTGTGCTTAAAACAACTTACACTGTATATCACCTTTTATCTCAAACAAAGAGTTTAACTGTTTTATAATTCCATCAGTTTAATGACTGAAGGCATCGCCTGTGGGTCTCTTCGCTCATGAAGAAGCTTATATTGGTGCTGTGTTTGATCACTGAAGCGAAGTACTGGAGATTGGATGCAGGCTGTATGCCCCTATCCTGTGAGCAGACAAGTGACCAGTGCTGCAGGCCCTTTATCTGCAGCATTCGCAGTGCAAGAAAGGGAACATTGGGCTGTGGACAGTGCCTCATCGTTATTTCCGATCTCCTGTCTGAGGAATTGCACAAGCATACACAAGCTAAGGAAAAGGAGAGAGAGTTTGTTAGTGCTTATGGGGCACCAGAGGGCTGAGTATGATTTGAGGGCTTCTGGTTTATGACTTTCAATCTTATTTCTTACAGCTCCACGAAGTGCAAGATCGGAATGCTGAATGTTTGGGAATGCTGCATGAATCCCAGGAGGAGCTGAAGGAATTGCGGAGCAAAAGTACATCGCTGAGCTCGCTCCGGTGGCCTCAGTCATACAGCATTTTCCCAATGGTAAGGTAGCAGATGTGTTCAGCCATTCCTTGTTCTGTTTGTTTTTGGGAAGGTTTTCAATCTTGTCTTGCTTCCCCACTCCACCTGCATCATCCACAACATGTGGGCAAAAGGGTGGCAAACCTGCTTTAGGGTCTCTGATTTCATTTTGTATTGGCTGTTGCGAATCCATCAGACATCTCTCTGCCCTTCCCTCCCCAAGTACTACGCTTTGGACATCAATCGGATGTCTGATTGACTTGAAAGGTGATGTTAAGTATAAAGTTGTAGTAATACTGAGTTAACCCCAAGTGCTACCTACACCTTCTCTGTTCTCCCTTCCTGCTTACTGCATCTTCTCTGTATATTGCACCATGCCCACCTCTCTCCTGCGAACCTTGACTTCTCTGCCCTCCAACAGAATCAGCCCCATTGAGATGGTTATGGATTAATGGACACGAGTGTGATTATCAGATTTGTGGGGAGTTTATACTATTTGCAATCGTTGCTCTTTCACTGTCTCATCTTCTTGCTCTGTGTTCCCATTTCTGTAGTTTTGTGACCGGAGTATAATTGTAATGTGCTTGTAGGATTCACTGGCTGCTGAGATTGAAGGAACAATGCGCAAGGAACTAAGCCTGGAGGATTCCCCAGTGGAAGACCATAGGTAAATCTAAATATAATTGAAGGAAATCCTTTTCGGACTAGTTTTGTTGGTGTCTAAATAGATTGAGCACTATTCAGTAGATGCTCACACCCCAATCCTCTACATGTCACCTTTGTGCAGCTCTGCTGCACATCCCTCATCCCCTCCACTCCATAATTGGTGACTTTGCTTTCAGCCACTGTATCCCAAATCTCTGGAACTCCTTGCCTCAATCCCTCTGTCTTGTCCCCTCTCTGCCCATCTTCAAATCACAATGGAAGACTTTCCTCTTCAACTGTTAATCTCCTCCTGGCCCCCCCCGCCCCAATTCCAGCTTGGTTTCAAGTCACACTGCTGTTAAGCACTCCATGATGCCAACTAATTCAGAGGAGAGTGCAACCAAGTGAGCCAGATTGATGCCAGCGCTGGATAATAAATAATAATAATAATCCTTGCATTTGTTATAGCGCTTTTCACGTCTTCTAGACGTCTCAAAGCCCTTCACAGAATATCCTGTAAAGTGAATTGACCATATATTTGTAGGCGAAACACGGCAGCCAATTGCACACAGCAGTGTCCCACAAACAGTCGTGGATTGAAAATGACCAATTTATTATTGTTTTGTTTTTTGGAGGGATTATTACTGCTGATCCAGAGCGGAGACCAACCCTTCCTACAATTCTTCCAGTATCTAGCTAAAATTCATCAGCTTAGTATAAACTTGGGGTCAAATCTGGGACTCTCTAGTACTCTGGCTGGGTTTTAGACAATGGCTTTTATTATTGGGGATAAGTGCTCCAGGGCACTACCCCGGTTGAAGGGCGCTATATAAACACATGTTGTTGCCAAGGGTCAGAAATTCCTGTTATAAGCGCACCTATCATGGTGCTTACTGACTGTGAAATTTCACCACATAAAAGGTCTATCTCTATAATCTTAATTTTTCAATGTACTCATTTTCTTCTATTCTGTTTGCATCCTTATTTTAGGAACCAGCAGAAACGCGTCTTCAACATCGTCAAGAGCGTGAATGAAACCGTGCGAGCCCGGGCACCAGGGTGCCCTCTGGGGTCTATACCCGGATCTGGTTGCGCATCTGCCTTCCTGACTGCTAAACCGCATCAATGTGTTGTGGGACAAACAGGCACACGATCGAGGAATAGTTCAGGAAGTGAAGCAGATTTGCACTGGTATGTGAACAACATTTCTGTGCAAGAACTTCACTGGTGGTGTGGGCATGCGTGTGTGTATGTTTTATGTCTAAATTGCAGCAGTCCCAAGCTCCGTTCTTTTCTGCTAATTCTGAGTCTCAAATACTTCGAGTTACCAGAAGGAATCCTGACCCATTATCATTATTACAGATCCGTTGTAATTTGCTGCTAATTAGACTTCAGTAATGTGGATCACAAAGGTTTCTTTACTGAGTTGACCTATCTTATTGTCTTAATACTCTCCTAGTGACCTGTGTTTCTTCATCTCACTTGCCTGGGTTTGAGCTATTACTGCTCTTGTCTTAACTTAAACAGTTAATATATTTGGACACCCTGATTATCCTCTTTTGGTAACCTGTGAAATTGTCTTAACTGAGTGAAGGATATTGTGTCTCAGATGTTACAAAGTTTGTTAGTTTGGTTGACAAGTTTGTATATGTAACCAGATAGACTTGGACCAGATGTTTCTTGCTCATTCCTCTTTTTTCCTCTACCCTCTCATTTCTGTAGTAACCTTCCCAGATTCGGACAGCCTGGCACTCCTGGTGGAAATGATCTGGCCACAGCTTTGCGCCGACTTTCTCTGCGGGAGGAGAATTACCTCAGCGAAAAGCGATTCTTTGAAGATGAGCAGGATCGAAGGCTGAAGGCGCTGGCGGAGAAACAGGAAAGAAGTGGCTGTAGCACACCAGTGGAGAGCATTTTGTCCGGGAGCACTAATCACACAGATCTTTCGGAGATGTCGTGCTTTTCGGGAACTTCTAGTTGTTTCCGAACATTCTTCCCCGAGAAACTGCAGATTGTCAAACCGATAGAAGGTAATTTTGATTTCGATTTTTGTCCCCATTCCCTCTTATAATCGATAATAATCCTCAGAACACCACAAACACTTCAGAGGTAATTGTTGTCAAGTGCAGTGACTATTTTTAAGCCAATATGGGAACCATCTTGCTTGCAGCAAGATTCTCAAGTGCTGTTAACCCAACGACCCGTCTGCTTGTTCAGGTGGAAGTTGATGATCCCTTGGCACTATTCAAAAGGAAAAGTGCTTCTCCCAGTGACTAACAATCAGTCAGGTAAAATTGCTCATTCATTTCATGAACAGTTTGTGGGACTCAGCGCCTTGGGACATCCTCCCGACGTGAAAGACGCTATACAAATGTAATCCTGTTGTTGTTGGTGTTGACTCTGCATTTAGCTGCTGCATTTGCCTAAAAATAGTCACTATTTTGACAGCTATTCTCTCTGAGGCACTTCAAGATGCTTCAATGTTATAGGCATGACCTCAAATGCTCGGATCATTATTTGAATATCCAGCCTCAATAGGATTTTAGAAGCATTGCGGTGATTAACAGAATAAAGTAGTCATTAGATTGAATTGCATTTATTAGGAGTGATCTTGCCTTCACAGTGATGGTGCAAATCCTTGACATCCTTGATAGTGCAAAGCACTTGTTGTTGCCTGCAGGATATGGGATCTTTGGGTCAGTCTGTACTATCTGATGAATCCTACAGGCTCTTATATCTCAATGTCTTGCCCTAATAGGCTCCATGACTTTATACCAATGGCAACAGCTAGCGCAGCCTAACCTGGGCACCATTTTGGACCCTCGACCTGGCGTACTCACTAAGGGCTTTGAGCTGGTGCCGGAGGATGAAGGCTACCACCTTTCAGACCTGGAGGAAGATGATGAGGAAGGAATCATCTTCAAAGCCCAGCAAACCTCCACCCCCGAGGAGAAGAAGATGCAGATACCAAAAGAAATGGAACCAGCAGCAGCACCCTTCCTGCCAATGCCAAACCTTTCCACACACAACACACCACCTGGTGAGTTGTGCTGTGGATTACTCAAAGGTCTTGAAATGAACAGCCATTTACATACTGAGCCCCAGAATGTGTTGAGCCCTGGATTTATACATAGTAATGGAGGTGAGAATTTGAGATTTGTATGCTTGTAAGTCAAAGTAGCAGGATGTGGTGCTGCAGAGGGTTGGCGTCTATGTACTGCATGCGTAGATGTGTTCTCTGGGGTAGGGGGACGGTGGGGGGCGAGGAAGGAGAAAGCATAGGTTAAAACTTTGGCTGCTCTGATCACTTTTGCTGCTCATGTTCATATTGCTGGTTACAGGGCAGTGTATGGGCCCCAACACTTCTATCTGGTTGCTTGGGGAGTGATCTGTAACGGGCCTTAGAGAAAAGCTCTTTGCAACTTGGTTGGCAATGATCTCCACTATAAACTTGCCCTTTCTTTTGTTGCAGTGCACAATCCAGGCAAGTGTCTCTCCCAGACTAACTCGACCTACACCTTCACCACCTGTCGGATCCTTCACCCCACTGACCTCTCTCAGGTCACAATGAGGTGAGCTGCACACTGTCTTGCAGTTTAGTCTTCTTTAACACTTTAAGCTGCAGTAATTTATCCTGTGTGATAGTAATAGAAATAATAATCCTTGCATCTGATTTAGCGCCTTATCGCGTTGTCAAACGTCTCTTAAAGCGGTCAGGTGATATATAGTAAAGTGGATTAATTGTATTTTGTGGGACGAAAGTAAGCTCTAATAAAACTGGGAGAATGTTGCAGGGGCTGCTGATCAATCAGTTTTAAGACTTTGACCAATTCAGAAACAATGTTGAAAGCAAAACCTCCTTAAAATGTTGAAGTTCAGTATTTTTCAAAAATATCAGTGGCGCGTATTTCTCAACAATTGTCCTCACTTGCAGTTGGAGACGGTGAAATAGTACAATCAGAACCCAGGTTGTAGGTTCAAGCTCCACGTCCAGGTTGACATTTCTGTGCTGTATTGGGGGGAGCCCTGCATTGTCAGTAGTGCTGCGTTTCCGATGAGTCATTAATTTAAGGTCCTGTCTACCTGTTTAAATGGCGGAACAGTTGGTGTTTTATTAACTTCTCCTTCTCAAACCCCTATTGAATATTTTATACCAGGTTGTCATTTTATTGATCCACAAAATACAGTCACATCACTTTACCATGTCCTATGTTGACATTTTTGACTTTGAGATGTCTCGATGGCATGATAAGCTATTATATCAAATACAGGTATTATTATTAATACTATTGTTAACCTTGGAGGAGCGAAGAGCTGAGTCTGAGTGAATTTCAGACCTGGTCCAAAACCCAGTAACTGACCTGAGAGACGGGTGAACATGTAAAACAAGAGTCTTAGACTCTGATCTAACGGAATTAAAATCCCATAAAACTGAAAGTCCTAGAAAACGTGATAGCTGGATGGGATCAGTATACCTAAGCTAGAGGCATGGTGCAGGTCACTAGGAAGATCGAGAATTCATATAGGCTATCCTGCCCAAGAGCAAGAAAGCTTTGCTGTTGTTGAACCAAGTGCTATTGGGGTGAGTGTTTACTGGTGCTTTTGGCTCACAAAAGTTAAAAGTATGTATAAAGTAAAGAATGTGGCCTTGTTTATCTGCCATCTGACTTTTATCTCTCTGTGAATTTTTAGCTCCATGTATACTCCATGTACAGTGACAAGCGGAAGCACTTCATCTGTCATTGTGAGCACCGCTCCAAGTTCACCTCTAGTTACTTGTCGCCTGAGCCTTGGTGAATCATTCATGAAGAATAGGGAATCGACGACCACTCTTAGCACCACCAGCAGCCTGGCTAAGCTGCTGCATGAGCGGGGTATATCTGCCAGTGTTTACAGGTGCCCCCTGTCCAAACAACCACGAACCGTCACTCGTCCCAAGACACTAGCCCTGCCATGCACTCCACCAAACTCTCCCGTTCACTCGCCTTGTCCATCGCCCTTGGCCTTCGACACACGAGGAGCCATGGACAGCTTCCTGGCATCCCGGCCGGCAGAAACTTTGCTCCAAGAGGTGTACTGCCTGAAGCTTGGGAGGAGCCGTGCCGATTCCACTCCCGGCTGCCTGAATCTGGTGAAAAAGCTAAAAAAAATGGGAATTGCCCAAGTGGTCAATCCGCACAAGACTCTGGAGCAGAGTGAAGAGTCAAGAAGTGGCCTGCACAGGCAGGAGACTGCCTTGTTCATGGGGACTGGGAGCAGCCTGATGGGGGGCCTGAGGCGGAACCAGAGCCTCCCCAATGTTATTGGTGGACTTGGCGTTGTCGTACCGAAGATGGCCCGTTTAAATGAAAAGACCGAGAACAAGATGGTTTCATCAGCACAGTGATTGCTGGTGGAAAAACCCTGTACCCAAGCCTATTTAAATGGAGGAAGGGTGTGTGTTTTCTTTGAAAGAGTTGTAGGAAGTCTGAAGGGTTGAGCATGTAAGTGATGAGATAAGGGAACTAAGCTGGAGCTTAAGGAAATAAGTTTAAGAAGGGAGACTAGACGAAGGGGTTGGATTAATGGTGAGGTCAGTGTAAAGCAGAGTGATACATGGGAAGTGTTGAAGGTAGGTGGAGGGGTTGATAGAAGAAGGTATTGTGAGAAGAGGGTAAATCTAACATTGTGGCAGTTGAGAACTAGCTGGTAATGTGAACGTTTGTCATCCTTCCTCCTTCCCAATGTAATTTGTTCACCAACGGCTTGTAGCATTCCGTGGCGATTTCCCAGAGCATTAAAGCACACACCAGTCCTTAAAGCACCCTCGTTTAAAAAGCATCATGCAGTTGTTTGCATTGTTGTGGGAATGGCTTGTGAGTCAATAAGCTAAGGTCAGGGAGCCTTTGCAAACCTAATAGTGGGGTATTACTGTCTGGTTTCTCCCCCTTTTCTCTCTTCTCTCCCCACCACCCCAGCCTTTATGGTTGAGTTGCTTCTTAAAGCACAAGCACAGTAATATTCACTAAGTTAAGTTGCATTAAGTTAAAAAAAATCACCTCTCACACAATTTCTACAGTTCTTTTATTGCAAATTTGTGACTTGGTTATAAATACTCTTGGGATGAATGTGCTTTCCCTAGTACTGCTTTATACTAAAAATGACCACTTTAAGCTAAAATTCAGAAAACTCATCGATCTGCAGCTGAGGTTGTGTCAGACCCATCCTCACATTGCTGTAAAAAATGTTCACAGTGCTGGAGGGGTGCAAGAGCCACACTGCATGTGCCAACCATACAGTTGGATTCCTTCTCTCTGAGTGTGTTAATCTTATGGAATTGTGCACTGTACCAACTGCATGTTTGATATATCACTCGTTCAGCTGCTCTCTGCACAAAACTGAACTGGACCATCCTCTGATAGTGAGACAGAGAAAATTGATAACTGGTTGGAATTTCAAGACTCCTGTCATCACCAAGGGATAAACTAAGAGCAGAGCCGAAGTACTAAGTATTGTTCAGTCAGATTGTTGCCATCTTGTTATTCTCGGATATCAATTCTCAACCTGTCTGTTTGTATTTGCCCCAATGTGTGGAGTGTTTGATCCAGTGTATCCTCAACCATGTGACTCCAGGAGATTAACAGGAATGAGGAAGGAAACCTAGAAATCAGGCGAGTAGAAATAAGCACAAAGCATCAAGCTGAACTATAGACTTCATTCATTTCAGCTTAGAAATTTCTATGAAAATGTCTGAAAATGATTCGCTCAGAGAGAGAAGCACCAAAGCTCTAACACTGTGCTTTATGGCGTTCCAAAAAAAAGTAACTAAGCAACGTGATCAAATTAAAAAGGGATCTATAAACTTCAGGTAATCTGCGCCAATTTTGCGAAGCAGGTATGCAGTGCTCTGGAATCTTGAGTTGAAAATTGTGTTCAGGCTAGTTGTTAATAGCACAGTACAGATGTAGTGAGCTGCTTTGATTGTACAAAAGTTCTGTGTTTTAGTTTATGACCAGTTGGTTGCCTTGGTCCAGTCTCGGGCCAGTCTCCTCCTTATGGCTGTCAGCATTCTGTGGCTGGGTTAGAGGAGCAGATCTGCTTAAAGATGAAGGTAATTCCGGAGACTTTCTGTTGATGCTTATATTTTTTTATATGTTTACAGTTTCCTTTATGTATTAAAGCCTCCATTTGTATGCAAAGCAACAATTTAAAATTATATATAATATATAAAAAGCTTGTTAAGTTTGAATATTTAAGCACAGCTCTCAGGCCCTGTCTGTGTATAAAATGTACTGTAACCGAATGTAAATTAATTTTGTTCCAAATGGGCAACATCTGTCCTCTTTACAGAAAGGCTTCGTACTCCGTCCCTAGTGCTTTATACTGCGGGCCTCCTGAGGGCCAGACGCAATATTAATGTAGCCAGAAAATTAGTCCTTGTAGAGTTGCTCTAGCTGTTTGATCGTTTATTCCGTATACAGTGGTGATTTGAGGCTGCGCATGCCATTTAAGCATTTCCAATGACTGCTGCAGTGAGACAGTTGCATCAATCCTTCAGAGTGTTGGCGTGTTTTATGCACTTTTTAAAAAATATATATAAAATGCACCTTTCACTATGACTTACCTTTCTTTTGTAAACATATAATTCTGATTATTATAAAAGTGCGATTGAATGATTTATTCTGTGCGCAGGGCAAATGGATTTCAAGTCTGATTTCTGATGGAATCCTCCAGTCTTTGGAATGAAAACAAAAGTTAACACACACTATTCTGTAGTCGTGATGTGGTTTTCTGCACAAGGGTTGTGGGTAAGGTGGGGGGAATGCGAAATTGCATTGCTAACAAGTTCAAATCCAGTGGATCTTAAACCTGCCTTGCATTCTACCTCTGACAGTCCACAAAAATTAAATTGCTAGTTTTATTCTAACTTCTTCATTCATCAAACTGCTTTCACATTCTTGTATTCTGATTGGGTCACCATAGTTTCCAGTGTATTATGTACATTGAAAATGGAAGCTATTCCTATCCATTTCCACCGCAGCTTGAAGGTTCATAGAAACCATTTTTTTGTTCAGTTGCAAAATGTATAAGATTTAATTAGTGGACAGGGATCAAAGATTTTCTTGGGTAGGGGAGAGGAAGGGGTTAAAGTTAAAATGGGGACTCACTGAGAAAACCTAGATTCTGATCGCTTCTTTTTAATTAGATTACGTTAAAATTGTTAACTATTCTTTTTAACAATTTTCCTAGATTGTATGCACTTGAGACCACTCTTCACTTAGGTGATACATTTCATTGATGGTGCTTAGCTATGCGCTGGAGAAAGAAATGCATTGCTTTACCAGCACTGTTGGAATTGAGGTGGCTTTTGAAGGATCTCTCTGACCGCGAGTTTCCCTTGTGAAGTATGTGCCGCTCTACTTCATTTCTCTGTGAAGGTCCACAAAGTGCCAAGTAGTACTTGGTTTTCTCCCGTGTGCATCTATGTAATCCCTCTGACTCTGACTTGATCCACTTACTCCTGTCCGAAACATAATGGCTCGAGATGTATTCTATAACTCTGCTAACTTATCCCAACTAGCTGTTTGCCCTGTGTGAGCTATTGGAACATGGAGGCATAGTATCCAATGCTGATTGGTCTTTTCTCTTTTTCCCCTCACATGGGCGGGTGGGGGGAGGGGTTCTCTGAAATGGAAACTGATGCTTTAATTTCCTCTTCTCCTACCACTGCCCCTCTTCCAACTGTAATTAGTGTATTAAAGAAAATTTCCAACACTTCAATTTGCAGAAACCGACTTGACCCAATTTATGTGGGAGGTAAAATCTGCCATTTGTTTGGATGTTTTATCAGACTGGCTTATTATCCTGCAGTAATTGAATCTCGCCACTTCCAGCTGGCCTTTATTTTTTGGGGGGGTGGGGGTGCGGGAAGGGACCCTGTTTAATAGTAAAGTTGCAGAAGACAATCTCCACTGGGTTATTGCACTGTATGAAATAACAGTAGAGTCAAACTGCATCCAATCACCACTGTACAAAACATCTTGGTTCTACTCATCTCGCTGTCTCTTAGTGATCTATAATGTGTTTGTGATTCATGTGAATCTGGCTGTTTGGAGCACATCTTTAATCTTATTTGTCATTCAGTAATGTCGTTTGCAGGGGGTTTCAAATAAAAGGGCCTTTTCCTCTCTCGCTGTAATGTATTTGAGAATGTGGAATAGTGTACTCTCTAGCACTGTAGTTTTTAATCTCTACAAGGTACTAGTTAGCTCTGATTGGCAGCATTGATCCATACAGATGCCGGTGGGTGGTGGGCGGGAAAGATGATGTGTGCCAATTGGTGACAATCTAATGCACAGGCAAGTGGTGCATATGAAGATCCCCTTTGGAAGGGAGGCACACTGGGTTTAACTAGTCTGGGTTGGTTCTGACCTGTGCTCGGCTGCCTCTAGCTGGTGCACCTCAATGAATCAGAATGAAACACAGGTGCATCAAATATAGCCAGACCATAGGTTTCAACCTATCCACAGGTTACTCACTATTGCGCGTGCTTTTGTGTGTTGAAGGCTGAGAGAGGAAGGGAGATTGTCTCTGCTAATCATGCTGCTTTGGTTAGTTATGTTTTTAAATGTGATTTCCGATGCCTGCCGATGACTCAGCTAGTCTTGGGTGCAGGACTTGCAAAGATTTTTAAAAAGCTTCTGAACTGGACCTTAGAGAGATGGTAAGTCTGAACTGATGCATTGGTGTGATCTTGTTCAGTTTGAGATGAGCACAGTTGAGTTGACAGTGGACAATCTGGGTCAGACGAGGAGACTGTCAGCCTTCTATTTCCAGGTGTTGTCGCCCGTGAAACGTATAGTCAATTCACTTTACGGTATATTATGTGAAGTGATTTGAGATGTTTCGAAGACATGATAATATCAAATGCAAGGATTATTATTATTATCCAGTGCTTGCATCTTGAAGCATCACTTGCTCAATTTTGAGAGTCCTGGGCAAATCCCAATCCTTACATTTTATGACATTTCCCTAGACCCTGGGATGCTCCCAAGATTTTTTGAGGAATTTCTTTTGTACAAAATGGAAGCAGTAATTACTGCACGATTTGATACTCCATATAGCATTGCTATATTTGGTGCATAATCTGTTGCTCCCTCTGTTCTTTTGGTAGACGTGGAGAAGTGAACTGTCTTTGTGGCTTGGTTTGGGATGTTCGTTAAATTTAGTTCATGCTTTTGTACATTTAAAATCCATCTTGCCTCCTAAAATCCCCACCCAAAATGTAAGACTAAGAACTAACAGCAATTTTTCATCAATATGTCATTTGTTAGTGCATTGTTTGAAGTTTATTGTAACATTATGATGTATCTGCCACATATTGGTTTTAAGTCAAGGTTCCATTGCTAAATAAATGGTTTTGTAAGTGCTGTTTTTTGCCTTTACATTGTGAATATCAGTGACTGCAACACATAGGTTTCAATACAGATTCTGTACCACTTTCCATATTAGTTGGACTGTTACAGCACATTTAGCCCAACAAACCTCGAGAGAGGGATACCCACTGACTCGGGGTGCGGGTGGGAGAGAGCGACACCCACTGAGTGGGGGAGTGATACCCACTGACTGGGGAGTGATGATACCCACTGACTGGGGAGTGATGATACCCACTGACTGGGGGGGTTGATACCCACTGACTGGGGGGGTGATACCCACTGACTGGGGGGGGGGTGATACCCACTGACTGGGGGGGGTGTGATACCCACTGACGGGGGGGGGGGGTGATACCCACTGACTGGGGGGGGGGGGGTGATACCCACTGACTGGGGGGGGGTGATACCCACTGACTGGGGGGAGGGGGTGATACCCACTGACTGGGGGGGTGATACCCACTGACTGGGGGGGGGGTGATACCCACTGACTGGGGGTGATACCCACTGACTGGGGGGATACCCACTGACTGGGGGGGGGGTGATGATACCCACTGACTGGGGAGTGATGATACCCACTGACTGAGGTGATACCCACTGACTGGGGGGATGATACCCACTGACTGGGGGGGGGGTGATACCCACTGACTGGGGGGGGTGATACCCACTGACTGGGGGGGGAGTGTGATACCCACTGACTGAGGTGATACCCACTGACTGGGGGGGGGGGTGATACCCACTGACTGGGGGGGGGTGATACCCACTGACTGGGGGGGTGATACCACTGACTGGGTGTGATACCCACTGACTGGGGGGGGGGGTGAAGCTGGGGGGGTGATACCCACTGAGGGGTGTACCCGAGGGGGGTGATACCCACTGACTGGGGGAGGGGACTGGGGGGGTGTGATACTCACGGCAGAAGCGGACGGTTTTCGCCTCACGGCAGAAACACTGATTTCCTATATATATATATATATATATATATAATTTGCTTTTGATTTTTAAAAAAAGTGAGGAGGAGAGGGGGGGGGGGGAGGGAGGGAGAGGGGGGGTTTTGTCGGGGGATTGTGAGACATTTCGCCTCTATAGCAACCGCGGCAATAGGAGCTGCTGCCCCGCCCCCATAGCCCCGCCCCCGCCCGCCCCCACAGCCCCAGCTCCGCCCCACAGCCCCAGCCCCGCCCCCACAGCCCCGCCCCCACAGCCCCGCCCCCCGCCCCGCCCCCACAGCCCCAGCCCCGCCCCCACAGCCCCAGCCCCGCCCCCACAGCCCCAGCCCCGCCCCCACAGCCCCAGCCCCGCCCCCCGAGGCTTCAGCCAGAAACCACCACCATAATTGTTGCTGAGGAGGTCAATATTCTGCTGTCGGTTGTCATAGTGACCAGTTTTGTTGATTTTCTTCCTCTCCTACAGCTTTTCTCCTGTTACATCGGGAGCTCCCGGTCCACCAGCTCTCCCCCCACCCCCCACCCAGAGAGCGGGAGGGGACGAGATCAGCAAAGCTCCTGCGGGGAAGAGAGGTCCACCGATCAGCCGTGAGAGGCCGGTCAGGTCAGGTCCGCGGCTCCGGGTTAATTGGTGTAAATGTAGCGAGTTGTTACAGTGTCAAACTTCCAGGATCACCAGCCCCTCCTTTCGTCCGTCTCGACTGGTTAGACTCCAGCAATATTGGCCCCTCGTTCTGTACCCCCCCCACCCCCCGCCCACAAATGCGCCATCAGTTCACTTCACCGTCTATTCCCCGTGAAGGGCATTGAGACGTCTGGAAGATGTGAAAAGCGCTGTGTCAAATGCAAGGATTGTTATTAGCTTTTATCAACCTGCGCCAAGTACGGTCCGGGAGCGAAGGTAATCGGGATGAAGGGAGGGAAACTGCCCACTCCAAAGGCAAATGTCCCATCGTAGGTTGGAACTCAAGTTTGGTTTGTGACTCTCGAGCAGTGGTGATTTGTTTTTGCCTGGTCTGGTTTTGGCAGATGTTTTTAACTACGTGTATATTACTGGGTGACCAAAAAGTTGTGATATCCACCCTAGTATCTAAAAACCAAACAAAAATGTCATCATTTCTTTAAGACTTATTAGACATTGTAATGGTATCACGACTTTTCGGTCACCCTGTACAATCTGTAAACTTGATGGTAGTTTCTTGTGAAGCTTTTAAAGATGTTTCCACATTATAGTCTCTATTATCAAATGTGAGGCTCACAGGGAAACCCTGTTAACACCCCTGGTACAGCACAACCTCATCATGGTGCTGGTGTCCTATGGACCTGTAAAAACCGTAAGGTCAGTCCACCTGGCCTCTGGTACTGACCAACTGGCTTCTCAAGCTGAAAACAAATGCTAACTTTTGAGCATCTGCTGTACTGTGGATGTCATTTCCTATGTACTGGTGATCTATTTATTTCCTGTCAGACCATCAGGTTATGGATGAGCCACAATTTTTTGCAGCTCAACGTGGCTCTGACCGAAGTCTCCGCATTTCCGCCTCTGACCTTCTGCATCTCCTCGCCTTCTCTCGCTTTCAAACTCACTCAGGGTGCAACGATGGGTATTTGAAATCTTCTTTTCTACTTCTCTGTCTGCCCCGTCTGCTCAGATATCTCAGGCTTTCTGCACGTCTCTGCCCCGTCTGTGCCGCCATTTGGTGGGCACAACTACATATACAGCTGCTTCGTCCCAGATCTTTGGAACTCCCTCACTCTACCCCTCCACCTTCCCCTTTCTATTTGTTATTGTGCCTTAAAACCTACTCTTAACGCGCTTATGAACCCTTCCCCATTTACCCCCTTCCCTTCTCCCTTACTCAGTGTCTGACCTCATTGTAAAGTACACATTATCCTATGTGAAGAGCACACACCCAGCATTGTCTTGGAATTGCCAGCGTAGACTGAGTCCAAAGTCCCGACATGGGGCTCGAACCTAGACTCTGACTCAGAAGTGGGAGGGGCACCAACCCAGCCAGTGGTAAATGATTGCTCAGAATATCTTTCAATGCAACACAAATCTCCTGTCTTGTCTCCCTTAGTACAGTTCAGACCCTTGACCCTAAAAATTGGCTGTTGTGTTTTGCAAAGCAAAATACACAATCACTACACTTCTGTGAAATACTTTGAGGCGTCCACTTGACTTGAAAGGCGCTGTATCAAAATGCAAGGATTTTATTATTCAGCTCTGGTGGGACTTTAAATAAATTGGAGCTTGAAATGGAACAGGTTGTTCACAGGTGATTGTTTTGTACAGTCACAATGAATGAGTGGGTGCTCTGCTTGTCCCATTCTGGGTAGTCTTAAGATGGCCACAGGAATGACAACATTTCCAAATTGTAGTCTGTGAAGAGGCAGGAATGACTTCCCCGAGTCACAAGGAAGTATGGGGTGAATTGCCTTGCTGGTGTTCTACACCCCTAGTGGCTGATAGGACCTTGGTTTAATGTCTCATCTGAAAGTTGACAGGCAAAGGCAGATGCAACCCCCAGCATTGCATGGAATGTCAGCCTGAGCGATGTGAGTTGGGGTTTTTTTGTCAGCGAATGACCACGTGGAAACCCATCACCATGCTTAAGAGTATACAAACCAAACTGAGAATTCCATATGTGGAAACTCCAGAGATAGATTGTTGTAAGAATCCTGCTTACCTAATTTTGGAAAGCATTCGGTGGAGGTTGGCAAGAGCCAAGGCTTGGAGATCCCAAAGTATGTGTTGGGTTACTGCTGGAGTCTAACCAGCTGAAACCACATAATTTGCCATTGATATCGCTGTGTGGTAAGCTTTCCCACTGCTTTCCCAGCTAGCACCACCCTACCCAGGAGGGCTTTTGCTTTCAGGGTTACAGGAGCCGAGTGGGAGGATTCCAAGCCCCCAGTGACTGGTCTGCCTTTCCAGGGGCTGCCAATGAGCCAGGCTGGCTGTGCTGTGATCAGCCGTGCTCTGGAGGACCCACCTGACTTAGGAACCGGACTGCTGGTACTGCCGCTGAGGGCTGGCTCGATTCCGACATTCCTTTAAGCATGACATCTTGGGGCCAATTCAGCTCCAAGGAGACCCCGCTCACCTCTCACCCCCACGCCACCCCACTCCTCCCCGCCAGAAAGAGGATAGTCAATATGATGTGATGTGAGTTCCAAGGCTCAATGTGGGGCTTGAAGCCTACGCCTTCTGTTCTGTCTCAGAGGCGAGAGTACTAATTGAACCAGGCCTCTAGCTGTGCTAGTAGCACAGGTAAGCTGCTTATTCTCTCAGCTGAGGTCTGGTACTGGTACATGGGACGAGGGTGGCCCACACATACCTGTCGCCTTCTCACGTTCCTGTTTCTAAACACTTTCTAATCTTTATCAGCAGAATGTCTGGATTTGATGAAGGGGATTCTTCCGCTGATGCTCCCTCCTGTTCCCTGCACCATCAACAGCGGTGAGTGTCTGTTAACATTTTAACTGAAACACTACTCGCAGTGCAGACTGGGTTAGACATGCAGTAACAGCAGACCACCTCTGGCAGGACTTATTAAAAGCTAAAATGAACCTTCAGACAGTCACTCGTGCAGTGTAGGACATGATCTTTGGGAGGCTGACATAACCAGGTGCTTCACACTGGCTGAGCACACAGAGATGTTCAGCAGATTGAGAGAGAGGCAGAGGAGAGGAACGGTTGGGCTATGCTCTGCCCTGAGCCAGAGATTAGAAAGTTGCACTGGTCAGGACTGAAACTTCTCTTTAAAAAATGTAAAACCGGCAAAGATTTTATTATTCAAATATGTTTCTATTAAACCAACCTTTGCGCTCTCATTTCAAGCCGACACCTTGCAATGTTTCTTCATTCACGTAGAATCAAGGGACCAAATCACAGTGAAAAGGTCGTTGCACCTGCCGCTACAAATCATTCCACATGATGGCGCTGTTAGCTGTAAAGAAATCAGCACTTGGCAGTCACAAAGGGTCCCAGGCAAACCTTTAGCTTATCTTTGTGATGGCTGTGTGTGGAGAAACGTCTGAGTCATTCAT